TTCTGTTAATTCTTATCCATCACGTTGAGAGCTTTACAAAGAATTAAAAGTAAATGAACAAATTTGGGATCATGTTCTCTCATGGAAACACAATATAATGTCTATAGTTTGATTTAGTAGATCCATTGAATTATACTGCAGGCTGACTCTGCTCTATCTTCCTTAGTATGAAATAGCTGGTTTTCACATGAAGCAAGCTGGCACCATTTTGTACTTGGCTGGGAAATTTGGGATACATACAGATTTGCTCTACAATTTTCAAATGTAATGTTCCCATGAGAGCTGCCATTAGATTGTCTCATACTTTGTATTTATAGCCTATGTAGGCTATTTGTTGGCCTGAAAGCATAAGCAAAACTTTCTACACAATGAAATATCTCCAACAGGTGGTCTCTTTGGGGAAATCTAGTATTTGCAGAGTCCTTTCACTTCTCTACTGCTATTTGGTTGTGCTTTTGCATACAGACATGAAGCAGTGGTAGGCTGCCTGGCTTCTGCACTAAGCTTTAGATGTTAAACAAAACAAGAAACTACCCACAGAGATCAAGGTGCTCTGGTCTGAATGAATTCAGAAAACAAAAGCTGCTTCATCTTCTAGTGTATTGTGACATGGGGTGAAGACCCAGGTGCAGATGTGACAGCCAGCTAACTACCCCATCTTCGACATAGCAAGAAACTGAGATCTAGACACTCCTAAAGCTGAACTCCAGGCATGTATAAAAGACACAAATTAATTCAGCTCCATATTCATTCAGACATCATTAAATGCATTTTATAAATGCAAGCAACTAAATTTTATGCACAAAGCACCTGAATTTGACTTAGTACAATTTGAGTACAGAAGAGCTTAGACATGGAGAGACAGAAGCAGCAAACTGTCTGTTTTATAGCAATTCTCATGTGCCAACAAGGAACAATGCTGATAGGTGGAGAGAGCAGAGTGACAGAGAGATTAACATATCAGTTTGCTGCTGCTTTTTTAACTGTCCAGTCACACAGTAGGGGAAGGACAAGACTTTTGTTACTTAGGCAGGCCATACAGTGGACGAAAAAAAAAAAAATTGGGGCTGATTTCTCCATCAACACAGTGGGTGTATACAAATAAATTTGGTAAACACAATGATCAGTGTTGCCGGCTATAGCCAGAGGCCCTGCTTGTTCTGGAAACACCTGACAAGCTGATTGTACAAAAGCCAGCTAGACCATACATTGATCAATCAATTCATGGCCAGCTTTAAGCCAAAACGCCCCACAAGCAAAAATGTTGTCCAGCATTCAGGTGCCTGTAGCACAACTCAAAAGGTACATGGGCCACTTTTGAAGCAGAATGGGCAGCTTTAGCAAATAATAAATGTTATATAAAAACAGGAATCAGCACTGTAATTATAGTCTTAAAAAACAATGGAACATTTAGAAAGCATTACCGTATTTTTCGCCGTATAAGACGCACTTTTTCTTCCCCAAAACTGGGGGGGAAATGTCAGTGCGTCTTATGGAGCGAATATGGAGCGGCCGGTCCGGTATTTCCACCGCGGCCATGTCAGAATACCAGGCCGGCCGCTCAGCTCTGCAGTGGGACCTTACCTGTTCCTCTATCCAGCGGGGCGCTGTCTTCCCGGCTTCTGTAGTGTGGGCACTAGGCATGACAGCCGGGTGCCAAGTGCGCATGCGCAAGAAGCGGTGCTTTTTGTGAATGGTAAGGCGGTACCTGGGACACATGACAGATCCCAGAAGCCGCCGGACCAATCACAAAGCGCAAGTGCTTCTCGCTCATGCGCACTGGGCACCCGGCTGTCATGCCGAGCTCCATTACAGAAGCCGGGAAGACAGCGCGCGGCTGGATCGAGGAACAGGTAAGATCAAACAACTCTGCGGAAGTAAGAGCGGGTACCTGTCAAATTCAGGTACCCGCTCCCCACCTCCCCAAAGGTCAGCAGTCATCTGTACTGTCCGCAGTCTCTGGTCATCCCTGTGCTGTCCGCAGTCTCTGGTCATCCCTGTGCTGTCCGCAGTCTCTGGTCATCCCTGTGCTGTCCGCAGTCTCTGTCAGGGCAGGGGCCGAGGAACGGACAGGCAGGCCTAACAATGTAACGCACTGGCTGACGACAACCACTACCCACAGACCGAAGTCCCTCAGGGCGCGGAGCCTAAGTCCCAGGCTGCCCTTCACCAGGGCCCCTGATGGTGGGGATGGACTTGACGCAGCCAGGAACCAGGTCGCGGCCCCCGAGACACCTCAGCTGCGGTAATGGCCGCCGCCAATGGCGTGTAGCTGGTGGAAGAGACAAAAGAGTAGTCAGACAAGCCGGGTCAACACCAACAGGACAAAGCAGTACAGGACAGCAGACGAGAATCACAGGTCACGAGCCGGGTTCAGCAACAGAGGGTCAGATCAAGGGAGAATACAAAGAATAGTCAAGTCACAAGCCGAATCAGATACCAGGAGAGTCACAAGAGTCAGAACAGAGTAATAGCAACACAAAGACACAAGGCACAAGTGCAAAGAGCATGTGCGGGCCACAGGCTTATATGTCATCAGCCACACCCCTCTGGGGGATGGACCACAGAGACCTGAAGGCATAAAAGGATTCCCATCATGCACAGCAGAATCCAAGATGGACGCCAGCACATGGAGTAACATAACCTCAGGGAAAAGGTAGGACCTTGACAGTCTCTGGTCATCCCTGTGCTGTCCGCAGTCTCTGGTCATCTCCTGTACTATGTCTGCAGTCCATTAGTTCAGAATTTTTTTTTTCCTGTTTTCTGCCTCTAAAACCTAGGTGTGTCTTATGGTCAGGTGCGTCTTATACTGCGAAAAATACGGTAATATACAAAAATGGAGATTCCTCCATCCACACTATTTGCATGTATAGGTGAATCAAGTGATTTTCTCTTGGTTTCTTGGGGCTTAATGGATAACATTCAAGCTGTTTATACTCAGCCTTATTTTTTTGCCTGGATCAAAATACAACAGGCTCAAAAACTACATGGTATGCTTCTGAGGAGGAATTTTCACTCCAATGCAGAGCCCCTCTTCTAGCCTTCGATGGCGTCTTATGGACGAACCTGGGAACTACTTTCTCAAGAAAGGAGGTAGCAGATACATCCAGGGAGGTGGTGCTAACTGTACAGTTATTTTTTTAATGAAGTCTTTAATACTAGATACTACAAAAATATGCATTTGTGTGTGATCAGTATCCTGCATTAATATGTATAGATCATGATTCTCAATAACTAAAACATAATATTTATTACAAGCACTTATATAACGCCATCAGTCTATATTTTATAAGTGCACAAAAAAACTGGTCTGCAAAGACCACAATTGATAATTTGTGCGCACAACTGCATTACCATACAATTACAACAATGCTCTAAGGCCAATTTAAGTACAAAGCCTATTTGCCTATTTTGGGTGGCAGGAAAAATACTTTCATATGTTGTATACTTACCGACAATTTTAACACAGGCTATACTTTGGTGATAGTGAAACCCAGAGCCCAGCACCATACAAAGAGAAACAGAGCTCAGATCTGAGTTACTATGATGGTCAAGGTTGCATACACTACTACCTAGGTAATACAGTTCTGTACAAAACTGTGATTTTGAGTAAAGGGAAAGCTGGTAATGTTAGGACACTTCTTAACACTATGCATGTGTGAACCTAATTTCAGACATGAACTCTTTAGGAATGATGGTTCACACACTGTCACCTGACTCCAATGGCTGCCTTGTTCCTCTTAACACTTTAAGCTAGTGCATCTGCCTGCTATTATGGGGTTCCAGAAGAAAACTGGTATAGTCAGTTGTGCAACCAATATACAATGTTAATAGGACTTGTCAGCATAGCTGTTGGTGAGACCAAAGAAAAAGGGATCTTATCCTTTTTATTCCTTACCCTGCTAACTATGTCAGCTATTGTGGTAAGCAAAAACTGATTTGAACTAATGTACAGTAGCTGACTAAAACAGGAGGTATTCCATGAACATTCCGAAAAAAGAGGAAATTTGAACTGGCAAATTAATTCTCTTCACCTTCTGTAGCCATGCATTAAAGGGACTTCGTCATAGAGCACAACTGTGGAAGAAGCAGCTCCAGTGCTAACATAGCACATGTTAGTCAGGGCCAGTCTCATCAGAATGAAGATGAAAAGCTTCATTAACCTGTAAATAGTATGCAGCCCAGGAGCTGGAGAGTAAAGCTAGTCATACTCCAGCAGAATTTTATATTGTTCAATTTTCTAGTCTGTGGGGTCAAATCAACAATTGATTTTGACTGTAGTGACAAGAGAATTCAAAGGAGCCGGATGGGAATTTTTTCTCTACTGAACAAAATTCTTATGTGAATGTGATTTTTGCACATATTGCAATGTGCATGTTCTAGTCACAAAAAAATGTTTTTATTATGTATGGAATTCTCTGCAAGTAGCAGGTCTGGACAAAGATTTAAGGGCTGAAATTAAGTGACTCTGATACATGATTTTTCAGAATTTCCATATAATTGCTTGAATACAATTCTACTGCCGTATGGCTAGCCATCCAGTCCACGGCTAGCTCTATGTCTACCCGGCAGCACTGCCTGATTGGATACCAGGCTCCCCGATCACACTGGAGAGCCCGGAGAGGTGCTGGGTGGCACTAGGAGGGGGGGACGTCGCCTTCAGGCCTGTAAAAGCAATCCAGTGGCTAATCAGCTTCTAGGATGGCTTTTACAAAACAGGGAATCGCTGTTTGTCAAAATAAAAAAGATACAGGGATGATGCCTGTAGCTGTAGGCATCATCCTGGTATAAGCACAGAAAGTCAAGGATGTCCATCCATCAGGAAGTGGTTAACCACCTGCCTACCAGGCACTTATACCCCCTTATTTACCAGGCCAATTTTCAGCTTTCAGCGCAGCCGCACTTTGATTGACAATTGCGCAATCATGCAACATTGTACCCATATGAATATTTGATCATTTTTTTCTCACAAATAGAGCTTTCTTTTGGTGGTATTTAATCGCCACTGGGCGCTACGTACTGGTGGGCAGCACTGGTGGGTGGCACAGGTGGGTGGCACTGGTGGGCCCAGGTGGGTGCACTGCTGGGCACAGGTAGGTGGCACTTCTGGGCACAGGTGTGTGACACTGCAGAGTGGCACAGGTGGGTGCACTGCTGGGCACAGGTGGGTGCACTGCTGGGCACAGGTGGGTGATCTGCTGGGCACAGGTGGGCGGAGTTAGTGGGCGCACTGCTGGGCACAGGTGGGCGGAACTTGCGGGTGGCATTGCTGGGCACCGATCATCAGGGCACTGATCATCAGTGCCCTGATGATCGGTGCCGATCCCCGCTCTGACAACTGCCGGTTCTCGGCAGTACTTTCCTCACGATCTGACAGCGTGAGGAAAGTGCAGCCGAGAACCGGCACTTGCATTTCCCTGTGATCAGCGTGTCATTGGACACCGCTGATCACGTGGTAAAAGGCCGGTATGATTGGCCTTTTACCACATCACGTGATCAGCTGTGTCCGTAGGACACAGCGATCACGGAGATCGCCGGGTGCGCGCCCCCTGGGGCGCACAGGAGAGCGCGTTCTGGGAGGACGTCATATGACGTCCACTCAGAACTGGCCGGCCGCAGTTTAGCCGTCATTCGGCTATCTGCGGTCGGCAACTAGTTAAAGGCTGCGGTGGAAGGCATGAAGCTGCTTCTCCCACAGGTAAGATCATACGCAGAGATTTGGAAAAATAAAACCATTACATTGACATCCAGTTTGCAAACAGCTTTAAAAATTGCACAAAGGCTTATTGAGCATCAGTGCAAGAAACTATTACAGTATTTGTTTCCGAAAGGTTTTAAACACACCTTACATTATGGCTCCATGTACACAGGATGTTTCTGACCGATAGAAACTGACTGCTGGAAAACGTAGGTTAAAAAAACGTCTGTTTAGCCACGTTTGCATAACACGGTTATGCGCATTTGCGTTTAGAAGCATTTTTTAAAGATAAGCACAGGAGAACCTCCCAAATGCCAAGAATGCACTGAAAAGTTGTAATTTATTAACTATTTCAGAATGTTTCAGAGAAATACACACACAGTAGAAGCAGAGATAGAAGTATGTGTTGAGATAATTAGGTGTGAGTTGCTTATTAACATTTCTTTTGTTTCCAAGGGTGGGATAGGTGTCTGGTGGAGGGAGTCATTAAGGTTACCTGGCAGGGAGTCTTCATGAGGAATTTGAGGTGTGAATGCTCATTAACATATCTTTTGTTTCCAAGGATGGGAGAGGTCTGAGGTGTAAATTGGTCATTACAATGTGTGACAAGCTTGGTAGGAACATCCTGTGTTAAGTGTTTTGTCCATCTGAGCACCTTGAAAACTCTGCATGCATTTTTCATGATGAAAAAAGGCTCTGGACAACATTGAGAACTGGAAGATTTAAAAAAAAAAAATTTAAACCGCAAATGCTTATAAACACGATTTGCCGCGTTTACAAGCATTTTGCGTTTGAAACGCTGATAAAATCGATGTGTGAACGCAAGCTTGCTGTGTTCAAAAAAACTACTGTAAACTCAACTGCCTGTAAACGAAGATGTGTACATGGACACATAGGAAAACATTAGGGAGAGTTCAGGGGCTGCTGAAAAAAAAAACGCTGAACATCTACTAAACGTGAGTTTAGCAGCTGCAGTGTACATGAGCCCTGTAACTGACATCAACAGCTGGAAGTATGTCACCATATATCTATTGTTCAGCTGTCTCCTGACACTCAGGGCCCCTTTCCTGAATTAGATATGCAAATAGCAACTTCCCCTAAATTGTATTTGCATAAGAATAGACATACCCCTGCCAATCAAATGACAATGAACAGACCTGCTGATAGGTAACACTGTCAACTAGTCATTACACAATGGGACACAACAATGTACTGTCACCTACAGCTACCTATACACTGATCAAAATGTGTCCGGTCATTTGTTGCCCGGTTCAGCAGAATTCTGATCAGTGTGTGGCTGTCTCTGCTCAACAGAAATCAATATTTTGATTGACTTCTGTTGAAGGAACATGTTGGAGAACTTGTGTCTATCAGTGACTGTAGCCACTCTTCAGTGTATTCTGACAGCAGCCAGTCCCCTATCAGAATACAATGTCTTGGTGAGGGGGATGGTTCTACATCTACCTCAATTGTGATTTTTAATTTGCCGAAAACTTGAATTTCTTAAAGTATTACAAAATTGAATACAGTTATGGATTTATGAGACAAAAAAACCCCATAAAATATACTTTAAATACAGGAAATATAAGTACCTAACTCTGATCTCTCTTTATATTAGTGTCCTGCGCTTCCTTATAAAAAAAAGGACTCAAATTGGGAGAAGGATGCACTCACACTGTGAGACAATCAATCTACACCTCAATGCACAGTTCTGTCTATCTTTATGATCTCATCGGTGTCATTTAATCGGCAGACTAGCGATGGGTTGGTTTTAATTGCCCAAATCTACACTCTAGTCAGTATTGAAAAGTAAATCTTTAGATGCACACAGGAAGCACAGACTACCTGCTGAGTAGTTCAGTTTTATTTACTGAAGCATAGCTTTACACAGCAGTCCACTCACTCTCTTGTCTATTGTCTGTAATCTGTTGATCCAGGAATTCATCGACTTCCCATGCTGGAACACATACTACAGGCTGCTGACTGTCTATCAAAAACAGAAAGCCTGATGTAAAAAAAAAATGGCCATACGCAGATCGCATTTTTTCAACTGATTCCTGCTGAATCACCTGAAATTCATTCCATGAGTGGCCCTGATGGCACCATCTGGCTAAACAAAAGTTGATTTTTTAAAGTGACTTTTGTTCAAGGAGTTGGGCAGATAATTCTCAACCAAACAACGCCTGCATCCAATCAGATGTGGGTGGAGAACTTCCGCTCGCCAGGTGGTTGGAGCGGATGTGGGAGCGGGTACCTGTCAAAATCGGGTACCCGATCTCCAAAGGTGCCAAGTCTCCACGGGGAGTGGGGGACAAATCCGTAAAGCAGAACTTACTTTTGGGTGGCGCTCCGCTTTAAGAATGTGCTAATGGGGAGTTCATATTTAAATTTTGGTTGCAATGCACAGGTTTCCTTTAAAAAACCATTCAAGCCAAAACATACAGCGGGACCGTTCAATATCCAGTTTTTCAACTTTGAGATGCCCATGCTTGTATTCTGATCAGTACATACACACATTAGATTGTCGAGATCCTGACAAATGTGGGTGATAATCTTCAGTCAAATTTCATCCAAAAAGGGGGGAAGCCAGGATGATAAGGAAAGAGTATTCCCAGATATTTCCATTTAATCATTCACTGCTCATAATTTTACAGAAAGCCCCATTTATCAAATGATCTACAACTAGACCAATGAACCTGTGACTGCACAGACAAAACGTTCTCCTGTCTAGGCTTAGACAGTTGACCTCACTGCACAAGTACGGCAGACGTTACAAAACCATCTCTCTTCCACTTCCACACATAAGTAGCCACCCCGATGGTAACTTAGATGTGACCACAGCTATGGTTACAATGTTTATGCCAATAATTGATTTTAAAATGGTTTTAACAGAGCTTTATAGCACACAAGGGGGATAGTTCAATCAATTTAAAACATACAGTGCATAACTAATATAAAACTCAAGTAAAGGGATCAATTACTGGCCAACATAGAAATGCAGTACAAAAGACCTACATGATTAGATGTTTCCCTCATCAGGGAATAAAGGTTTTCTGCAAAATAAATCAACTAGTTTATTACTAAGGCTGCCATAGGCATAAGCACATAGCAAATTTTCCATCAGCGTGCATGTATTAGTTTAACATAGATCTCTCCTAAATTGTTGTTTGGCTCAGAAGCTGGTGGAAACATACGGATTTTATATCATTACTGCCCCCTGAGCATTTCCTGTGAAGACCAACTGTCTTTTTTAGCCAAGGACCACATCTGGTCTGTCTATTGTGAACAGGAAGTAAGAAAGCATATGTCCATCACTTATACTGATGCCCTTCCATAACAGAATCAGAGTTTTAGATTAACAGCCAGCAGCTAATGTCACTTCCATTACACAAGAACTTCTTTCATTGAATTACTAAAACCTCCCCTTGGTGAGCAATGCTCTCTTAATTATTGCACAGTTGTGCAGCGGAAGCCATGATTCTGTTCATAATATATAATATATTTTGTATGCATATAAAAAGCAAACTAGTATACACAGTGACAGTTTTGTTTATATGACTGTTTAACATATCAATAGAAATTAATGGACAGATTTACACATAGTAGTGTTTGACCTGGAATGTGCCATTTCTCATTATGTAGATACTATTAGACAGTTTACACTTTTTTTCTCTTTTAAACCTTTGACAGGCTACCCAGTACTACCTTATCTTCCCATTGGACCTGACTGTTGAACTACTTGAAGTGTTTATAGTAGACAGCTGATAAGACTCCTGGGTGATATACTTACCAAACATGTGGCGGTGCAAGCCAGGTACAGTTCTTGTCTGCATAATATTTTCCTGCTGGCAGTTCTGACAAACACTGTGCTCACCATTGTCATTATTCTAATAAGCCATTCTTCTTCTGTTTCTCCAAATTACATCAGCCAGTTCACAGTCACAAACCACTTGGCCTTCTGATTGCTGCCTGTGGCTCCAAAGAACCTGGCTGGACATTCCAATGTTGTTCTAATCCTTCTAATGTCTTCACTGAAGCATAGCTTCCACAACCATACCAATGTAACTTGCCAATTCCATCACTCTACAGATCATACCTTGTCCTAAATGCTGCTTTGAACTTGATCATGTCACTTACAGCCTAGACAAAATTGATGAGGTCTTGGCATACAGTATAAGGTTCAATATGGGTCTTTCCCATCATTTCACCATGAAGAGAGCCTATTTAGTCAAAGAGGATGAGCAGGAAGCAAACCTTGCCAATGTAATTAGCAATTATGTCTGTCCCATCTATATATGCCATTAAAGAATACACATACCAATAAGGTTTTATTTACATACACACTGTTATAACATTAGTTACATTTGACAGACCTTGTCACATCAATACCAAAATTAAAACAATAAAAAGACAAAAGGTCTTCATTAAACGTCCCTGAGGACCTTAATTGTATTAGTAAGGCTGCATACAACATCTCTTAATTTGACAGATCGGAAATACTGAAAATGGTATATAAAAATAAAAGGTGGAATTCCTCATCAGTGTGTCCAGGAACATTCTAGTCAGTATGTTGAAGACGTTGACTTTCTGTAAGCAGTCAACAAGTAGAGTATTCACACAGTTTAACCGACTTTCAGCAAAACTGTTGACATTTCCTTGAAAATTGCTTTCTTAAGAGTTGGAAAAGCTATCACATTAGCAGAGCTATTTAAA